TGGTCTCTTGGATCGAGAACTCCGCCCTGACCAAAACAGGGAAGACGATTAAGGCATGGAAATATCGCGAAACCAGTCTGATGGACCAGCCACAGAACAAGTCGAACAGCCAGGACCACCCTATGTGCTATTGCATGCATGGAAACAAGCCCACAGAGCAGAAGAAACTGTTGCGCAGAGTCGCCTGCCCTCTCGATTCGACGGGTAGGCTTTGTGGGTCTCCAGGGCTCTTTGGGAATGTTTTTTTGGGCCCGAAGCAGCATACGATACCGCGAGAAAAGCTGGAGTTTGGAAAGAGTGTACGGATACATGATCTGCGCAAAAGAGATCACGGAGAAGTTTACCAAGCTAGTTAGCCCCGCTCATCTGCTCGACGGGCGCACGGCGCATCACGATAATTGGCGATCTTCCCGCATTCTTCATGTATTACTTCCTCATGTCGTCAGGTCGCTTTACGATTGGTGGCCCTCAGGGTGATTGGACTTCAGTAACAGGCAAAACAAGCCCCGACTAAGTGAAACTGAAACTGGGGCAGGCCGGTGACAAAGGATGATATGTGAGTCTGCCCAGGCTGGCAAGTCTTGACCAAGATCTTACCTATTCGTGCGCGGCTCAGCCTAAGCAACTGCAGCGTCCAGACGCTTCAAGGAATCAGGGAGCCATTACCTCCTCTGCCCCGGCAATGGGCCCAGCCAGGCGAACAGCGGTACGCCATTTCTGGCGTGATCCGAGCCACCTGCCCACCCAAAAAGTTGTTTTCCCAAGAAAGTAGTGCCTGAGATCTTGTGATGCTGATGATGGAGACGAGGACCAATGCCACCGTGGCCGGCCTGGCACGAGTCGGTGCCTTCCTTTTGAGATGAGCTGGGGCCCTACAGTCTTGGGATCCACTGCGGATCCGCCTGGTCACTGGTGAAGATTTGTGTGGTTTTTGATTTATATTCAATGTGTATCTCAACATGGAGGTCTCAATGGGGTGCGCATGAACTACCTGAGAGTTCTAGTAGTTCCAGTAGTCGGCTCGAATCTCGGAGATGATAGCGCCGGCACACCTGCACGGTGTACATAGACCTGATGCTGGTGGCACATGTTTTCGAAAGTTCGTTCCGGCCAAGCCCTCGAATTTCAAAAATGACCTCCGATTATTTCAAACAGTCGCTGTCATTAGTGGGAGAAGATGCCAACCTGTACTTCCCTTAGGTAGTTCAGGTCAGGTGGTGGTGGTCTTACTTAACACCATCTAACGACTCGGGGAACAATAGTTCACGATTTGTATGTCACAGCATGGTATATGGTCGTCTATCCATGGCCAGCGCTATATGCAAGTACACCCAAACCACTACAAGTACATGCACATCATTTTGTCGTATCTTCCGTATCTTTCATCCTTCCTCATCACGATCATGATGAACTCTCATGCAAGGGTGGCGAAGCCAACCGCGCTGTTGTCGACGTTGAAGGCGGTGTATACGTTCTGCATGAAACTAGCATTCGGACGATGTCAGTCAGTGGATGAAAGAAACGGATGTGTGCTACCACACTCACGTGTCGCCGAACAGCCAGACGTCGCTGCCCAAGCCGAGGTCCCCGCCACCGAGAGCAGCCTGGCAGACACCATTTCCGGCATCACCAAGGTTGAAGCTGCACACGTCCAGTCAGCGTCGTCGCCTGGCGCATCCAAAAGGCCACTTACTAGTCGTTGCTGATGGTCCATGTGTTACCGCCCCAGGAAAAGGCGACCGTGGGGAATGAGTCGCAAGGGAAGCCGTAAGCGCCATCGCCGAGGGAGGTAGCACCAGCCTGGTTGTAGAAGTCCTCAACCGCGTCCGTCGGGCCGTACATGAGTGTAGTTCCAGAGTCGATGACCTGTTATCCCGAGCATCAGACGCGCTCCTATATCCCCGCTGCGGGAGGGGCGGGAAGCTTACCGTGTCAATACCCGTAACGGCGGTCTCGCCATTAATTGTGCCGCTCGCGGTGCCAATCTGCCAGAAGCCAGAGGAGGAGGTGAGGTCGTGGTACTCAATATCCCCGCTGTAGTACTGCGTGTCCGTGCCGCCGAGGTACAGCTCAGATGTGCCGGAGCTCAGGTAAAAACCGAACACGCCCTCGGAGACTGCACCCTGATCAATGGCCGTCCAGAAGAAGGGGTTCTGTATGCCGAAATGAGCTGCCGAACTTGAAAATAAATTCAAGGAGACATACAGCGTCCAGCTGTGACAGAGCCGGCCATGCCATGCCCATCAGGCCATCGCTGGGGCTACCGACGAGGTTTCCGGTCTCGCTGGTCACACCAGAGAGGTATTGTCCAGTGACAGAGATGCCAGCGACGCTCACTATATCAGAAAGACCGGTTAGTTTGCGCGTTCAAGCTGTCAGGAGCAGGGGACTTCACCATCGTCAGTATAGATCGGACCAGACGCGGTGGAGCCGTCGCCGTACTCGATGCTGAACGTTCCGCTCTGCTCTTCGCTCGTCGAGGACGCCGAGGGGTCGTACGAGTCCTGTGACTCACAGCTGTCGCAGTTCGACGAGGCGACCCAGAGGTCGGACGACCCGGTGTCAAAGTCGATAATGAAATTCTGGGCGGGTGTGCCGATGGTGACATCATCACCGTCCCACTCGCCATCATCCTCAGTAAGAGGCTCGGCCTGTCGCTTCTGGAGGTACTCTTCAGGGAGCTTCGCGACGGGCGGGATAAATGCGCCAGGGTTGAAGTTCTCGAGACCAATCGTGTTGTTTATGTGGATCAGGTTCGCGCGGTGCTTGCTGTGGGCGGTACAATAAAGACAGTTATCTATGCTGTTGGACACGATTGATCACGAAGAACACGTACTTGATAACACGGACGCGCTCCTGAGCGACTGCGTAGCGGTCGACAGTCCCGTCGGAGAGCGTGAATGAAGCACGCTTCCTGAGGGGAATGCGGATGCCAGTGTCCTTAGCGATCGGGGTCGCCGAAGCGATGAGAGCGAGAGCAACGGTGAGCAGGGATGCCTTGCAGAACATGTTTCTAGCAGTGAACGCTGACGCAGGAGACTAGGACCACGAACTGGAGGTTGTACAAAGCAGAGAGTGCCTGTTGAATGCCTCAGCCCGCTCAGGCAGGCTTTTATACACCACCAGAGCCCCCCACTCAGCGCTGGACCATATGCTCTCTCGTTGTGGAAGACTCGAAGAAGGCCTAGCGAGTGCATGGTCGCCATCGCTCACTCATGTGGTGTGTGTCCAGCCGAAGACGAAGGCCTGTATCTCCTTGTGTGTCACGCTTCGAGTACATGAGATGATGCGGTGGTGGTTGCATGCTTGATTCATGCAGTCTCCGAGCCACGCTGGCAACGGCCGGGATGTCTAGAATGGCGCAATTGCACAGACGTGGTAAGTATCTATGCGGATTCGGGGCTCTCCGGTTTGCACTTGCCTGATAGCTTTTTCCTACTTACTGATGGATATAAATCCAGTATCGGAGCACTCGAATCGGCGCGATGATCAAGAAAGAATGCACAGCCTGCGACATGGATGCGCGACCACAAGATGCGCTAAGTCAAGGTTCATATTCACATCCTGCCAGTGGCCACGGCCACAAATCGCTCGGAATGTGCTGCACAACTGATTGATTAGTACGGCGGCGCAAAATGTATAAGTTATGACCATCATGCGGCGGACAACGCCATGTTGGCATCTTCTCTTCGCGTTATGGATTCTGAGCTTCCACAAATTGCACTGACCGCCATGGTTCGTCCTGCCCGCACAATATAGAAAATCTGTCCGTATGGGCGCGGGCCTTCTAGTGGCTCGCTAAGAGCGAGAAATAAAAACAGAACGCTGTAGAATAAAAGGGAGTGGGAGAGCGGGGGATGCGTCGGTTCGGAATGATGGCGGTTGCCAAAACGGACGATGCACTCGATCAGAGAGATCGTTCGCCACATGGCTCTCCTCCTCCACCGTGGGCGTTGCGTTGGCACAACCTACTCACCGCCGCATCGCGCTTTCTTTTTTTGCCCAGTGTTATCTCTATTGTCTAAACATAGCGCTGTGGACTTTGGGAGGATGCGACGAAGCCCTCTTCTCCTCGTGGTCGTCACGCGGGTCTCCCCGCGTGTCGTCAAGTTCATGCGCTACACTCGCTATCCCTCATCACCCAGTCGCCAACCTATCTTTGCGGCTGACCACTGGCATGTGGCCACAATTCGCAAATCTACCCTGGCGAGCTCAAGCTCAAGACCGACCAGACACTCAGACGACACTGTGCACACCACACCAACTTTACTCTTATCTCCCCATAGATTGATTAGCGGTCCAGACAGTAGAGATCAGCTATACTACTACCGCATCGGCCATCACGAATCCAAGCGCGACAGCAAGAACCAGAAAAGAGACGTAGCGAGCACCACATGCATCATGTCCAGAATATCAACCCAGTCCGTTTCGTTGCCCTTTCATCCTATCATCTGCTCGGACTCAATCACAGGAACATGCCCGCAACAAGACCAACACCGCCGAGAACTGCCCCTGCGCCGCCGACGCGCAACGCACCCGCACCGCTGGTCTTCGTTGTTGACGTCGTCGCGGCAGTCGAAGACGAGGTCATCGACATGCCAGACATGGACATGCTTGTCGACGTCGCCGCGAGCGACTCTGCCTTGGCCTTGAAGGCGGCGTACGTGTTGCCCGTCTCAGGTGCATTCACGGCGAAGACCATGCCCTTCTCGCAGTGTCTGAGAAGGAACATCGACGTCAGCCGGACCAGGACATGTCAACAGGTGAGCACATACCCCGTCTGACGACAGTAGAACCAGAGTGGAGTGCTCGTGTTTTGGATGGTGAAGCTGTAGGAGGGGTAGGACGTCGCATTCTTGGCAACAGGCTCGAAGCCAGAGTCGACTCCCGTCGATCCATTCGCGAACGTGAAGTTGGAGCATGGCGAGGCGAACGTCGACTGGGTGATGGTGTGGTTCCCAGCGACACTGTGGGGTATGTCCGCTTCAGATGCCGGCATATCTCAACGTTATGACGGATACATACAATGTGAACATCAGAGTATCGCCAACAGTTGCGTTCACGCTGCACATGACTATGATGAGATACTTCAAGCGTGGTAATATGGCAATATACGCACGATGGTGGGTCGTACGAAAGCGTGCTGTTCACACCGACTTTGATGGGGATGACTTCACCCAGAGCAAGACCGACTGGCAGAATGGCAGCGACGAAAGTGGAGAAACGCATCTTGAGCCAAGTTGAGATGAACGTGGAGTGTTCGAAAATAAAGATCAAAGGGATGGAACGAGGGCGCTGGACCGTGCTACTACAAGAGCTGTCGACTAGAAACAATGACCGAAGAGTCGAGACTGCGGGACGACATTAGTATCGGCATCCTCGTTAACTATGTGCTCGTCGTTGTGCACGACAAGACGACTTACCCGGCTCGGGTATGCTGGAAAGCTGACCGACTGGGTGCGGGGGAAAAGAGGTGGATTGAGGGGTCCCGGTGTCCACCCAGGACATTTTATACGTGCAAACAGGTTGCCTGGCGACGAGTGAAGGCGACCGCCTTCATTCCTCATGGGGCAACGAGTGCATATAGAAGACTTCTTACGAATTTGAGCATGGGCCATCATGGCGACGGGCTCGATTGTTCTATCATCTCGCGTCGCCCCTGAGGCGCTTCGCATCTCGGTCAGGAGGAAATTGTCTGACTTGGGCACTGGATACCCACTATCTGTCATCAAGACAATGATTATTGTTTGCAGCAAAACTGCCAGTGGACAGCTAACGTACGTACAACAGTCGTTCGTCAACGTACACAACAGAAGCTACAACAACATGCACCGTAAACGACGTCGGGGAGAGCGCGCGATCACGAGGGGGTTGAACCCAGCTTACAGGGATGTTGAATCCCAGTAAACTGCAGTGTTGAACTGCAACTTTACACGCTATTGATGTGTCTCCATCACCATCGCATCTTCCTGGTGCAGGAGGCGACGTCGCGACACATTCTTCGCAGCATAAAAATATCCGCATCAACGCAGACGCGTGATCCCACACTCACAGTGACAGGCCAAAGCAGATGTTCTCCATTCAGTCGAGGATAGGCTGTGGACACTCTCGTCAGGCATCTATAGCAACGAGAGGACAAATGGCATCACCTCGCGCACACACATCTTCGATCGCGGTACCACTGAGATGTGATGCCTTGACTCAGATTGCACAGGTGACCACGATTAGACACGAGCGATGATTTCGCCGTGCATGAGAGCATACCAGCCATCTTCCTGCTTGGACCACTCAACCCACGCCTGCACCAGCTTGTCGAGGTCGTCCTGCGTCGCATATCCACCCTCGAGAGCCTTCTTGCCAAACGGCGACATGAGAATGCGGTCCCTCCACATATTGCCCCACCACTCGCGCTCCTCGGCGCTGCTGTAGCACCACGCGCTCGCGCTTGCTTTGATGTCCTCGCGCTTAAACCCCGCCTTTATCGCCCACGAGACCAGCCTGCGGCCCGCGACCGGCTCGCCGCCCAGGTCGCGCGCGATGCGGACATGGAGCTGGACGAACTTGTCCAGCTCCTCGTTCTCGGGATAAAACGCGGTGTTGACCATGTCGCCTTCGCGCACGGCGACGAGCCCCCCGGGCTTCGCGACGCGCCGCATCTCGCGGAGCGCACCGACGGGATCGGAGACGTGCTGCACCACCTGGTGCGCATGGACGATGTCGAACGTGCCATCGGGGAAGTCGAGTGCGAGCAGGTCGCCTGTGACGAACGAGATGTTCTGCAGGCCGCGGGCGGCGGCGGTGGCGCGCGCCTGCTCGAGCACGGAGGCTTCATATTCGAGGCCGACGGCGCGGCCCTGGGGCACGAGCGCGGCGAAGCCGGCGGGGGTGGG